CTATGGGATTGACATGGGCATGTTAAAATGCCCAACTTTACAGCAGAAAAAAACATGTTTACAGCCTGGTTCAAAAAATTATTTTGGTCTATATAGCTAATTTTGCCTGACTTTTTTTTTATAACTCATCCGTTTAAATTATATTAAGCCTTAAAGTTCTGCATAATTAAGGGCGTGGCCACTTGAGTGACAGGTGGATTGCCGCTGCTGACACTGCTGTCGAGCTAGGTGGGCGTGGCTTCAGCAACCGGCTCCCGCCTTTTTGCCCATTTTCGATTATCCGGGAGTGACGCGCGGTGACGCGCTGCCAAGATGGCGACGGCCCGCTCCGACCACTTTGAGCTTCAAAAACGCTCTTCGGAAAACTACGGGTGACATCACGGACACTACGTCCATGTTTTTATACAGTCTATGGAAACAACATAATATATTTTTCACATTTTCACATAAAAATAGTCTGATCATTTTATCTTACAATAACTGTGGTTGACCTAGCTGAATGAAAGTTTTTACCATGCTGTTGAAAGAGTCCAAATTATGTCACTTCCTTCATGGGTGTCACAATTTTAAAGGATGCTAAAAAAAAATTTTTTCCGAGGAAAATCATACAGTAACAAGGTTCAAGGCAAAATGTGGGACACAAAAATTATTTGTTTCATAATTAAAAATATTTTTCATACATTGAGTTGAATATAAGTTACATATATTATGATAAAAATTATGATTATGAATTATGATTTTAATTGTCAGATTCAGGTGAGAACTTCAATGATTTGACAAGCTAAAACCACTCCATAAAGTAGGGTATTCAGATATTTGATATGTTTGAAACAGGTCATTTTAATATATTTTTTTATATATAATTTAATGTTTATAAAGGAAATATTTAGCTTTGGACAGCAGAAACATTATATTTGTGCCACTAATTGTTTTAAAAAATACCACAAGATGCCAAAGTGTATGGTATTTGTAAGAATGTGAAATTATTTTTCTTGGCGTATGGCGACATATGTTGTCAGGTCAACTTCTGTGTGTTTTTACTAATAAACTGGTAGGGAGATTATTTGTAGGAATTTTAATTTATTTATTTATTTTACAGCTTAGAAATCATATCAGAAACAGCAGCATGTGAGAATAAAACTCTGGGTATTTACATATTTATTTATTTATTGTATAATTGCATATTTTTACCTGAAATATCTTTGTAAATTTGTCATGATAAGATATTACTTTCCGATATTTTTTTATACAACAATTTCAAGTGAAGTATGAAATTTATATCTAGTAAAGCTATACTGGTAAAGTTAAATATGTAATGTGTTAGATGCTCCAGGTAAATTAAATATGAAATATCTGTTGCTTCTAAGTATAAATTATTTAGCCATGTCATGACACTGTAATGTAAAAAAAAAAAAAGGAAATTAAGCATTTTAAATATACAATAATTATTTTATTATTATTTTATCTGATTAAGCTGCTAGTTCAACATTTTACTTGCAGTAAATGTGCTGTGCTTGCTTTCATCTTGCAACACTGGAGAACATAATAAAATAAAAGATAAAAGAATAATATCAGATTTCATTTCAAAAGGTGCACTAAATTGGACAATATATATAGATATTATATAGAATATTGTATAGTCACTTTGCTTTTTAATATGCAGGAATTCTTGATATTGTTGGTAATTTTTCCCATATAGAGACTGTGGTGTTGTTATGCTGTGTGCTAGTTTTCATTTAGGGCTGCAAGCTGTTTTGCTGATTTGACCTTCACCAGGTCTCAATGATGATTGTGTTGTCTTCTGATTTATTTCAGAGCTGAAAGGGAAATGCTCTGAGGTGGGTCTGATTGTGTAGTGTGTTGATTACATGATAAAAAGCCACACATGAAAAGACGGTGATTGCAATTTGGAGTGCAATATGCGAGTTGTAGTCTGGAAGTCCACTAAATTTAAAAGCACAAATCAACCAGAGAATTGCAAATCCAGTTGAGCAGTTGATGATTAAACTAATCATAACACAAACAAAAACTCAACAATTACTGATTAGTGAGGCTCAGTACTTAACCTTTTGGGTCTAAGTGTCAGAGATCAGACTTTTTTATATGGCAGACAAGAAAACAGCAGTAAAAATATGAATAGACTCTGAAGGAGGGACCTGAGCCAAACATAGAGATTTTGAATTGGGCTCTTTTAAATTTACCACCTAGCAACCACCCAGAATAAACTAGCAACTACCTAGCAAAGTCATACCAACCATCTTGAAAGCCTTAACATTATGGTGGCAAGCAAGAACCACAAAATCTCCTTGCTCATTGGAATCTAGTTGAACGTTACTCCGCACCAACTGCACTCTAAAAAATCCTGGGTTATTTTTTTAACCCAAATGCTGGGTTGAGCCTTTTGGGTCATTTTTTGGGGTTATTTTTTCAGTGTTTGGGTAGTTTTTGTGTTACCCAGCTCCTGGGTCAAATGTAACAACCCAGTGTTTGGGTTGTTTTGCAGCTCCTGGGTCAGACATAACAATCCAATGTTTGGGTAGTTTTTGTGTTATTCAGATCCTGGGTCAGACGTAACCCAGCGGTTGAGTTATTTATCGCGGGGATTTTGCGTCTTGACTTCAAGAGAGAGCAGTTCTAAGCGCCATCGAATTGATGCATTCTTCGGTAAAATACAGGTTTGTGTACATTTTATTTTATCTATAAAATCGTTACTGTGCTGTATATAGTTCAATTTTATGAAGAGCAACATACAGGCGCGCAGTGTGAATCACCTTTTACGAGTGTCGCGGTCTTTTCGCGTGATGGAAAAGCCTGATGCTTTGCATAAAATAAACGATTTTATTCATAAAGATACAGAATATAATACTTTGTTTGGACGTTAAAACATGACCTCAGAGCTGTTTATTGTTTGTTTATTGGCAGGTTATGTTTAATGTTGAATTTTTGTTCTAATGTTTGTTAAACGAGTTTAAATCTGTATAGCCTATTAAAAAAACGATAAACAATGCTGTAAATGATAAATAAAGGAAAATAAAGGAAGTTATCATGCAAACCAGTGGTTGTGTGGAGTATTTTAGAAAAGTTTAGAGAATTTAAGTTAATCTGTAAATCTTATTTAATGTATGAAGTAAAAAAAATAGGCTAGTAATATAGTAAAAATGAATAAACCCATTATGCTGGGTTAAATAAACAACCCAATTTGCTGGGTAAATTTAACCCAAGATGGGTTCTGTCCTATATTTACCCAGCCCTTGGGTTAATAACAACCCAAATTGGGTTGTTTTTAACCCAGTGTTTTTAGAGTGTGAATTCTACTTCCAATGCACTTCCATCAACACTCATAATGGGTTAAATGACACAGTTTTCTAAAAGCGCTTCACTGCTTTGCCCTGTGGCACATCTTGCAAGTCAGTTGTGACTGTTTGCTAGCAGTCCTTTGTGCTGAAGTTCAGTATTGACCTGGGTGAGGGTCAGACCCTCATGAAACATTTGCTGTATCACTGCTAAAATCACACATTTCAAGACTCTGTGGCATTACAAGTGCTGTTTTCTTTCTTGTGTTTACATGAGCATTGACTACTTACTTGTATAAAGAGGAGGGACATTCTCATTCTAGAGAGCATTTGATTGGTCAGAAACCCCCGAGTGCATGATGAGTCATCAACATATTCATAATTGCATATTTTTCCCTGAAACATCCTTGTGTTACAGTTATGAAATCTCATATGTTTTACTTTTTTCATAAAACAATTTCAAGTGAAATGTAAAAGCGTTGTCAATACTGGAAATTAATAAATATATACAATGTGTTAGATGCACAAGGTAAATGAATTATGAAATACTTCTTATTTCTAAGTATAACTCATTACTCATCGCATGGCATGTAAAAAAATCTAATAATGGTATAAAACATACATTATTAATTATATTATTAATATTTGATCAGATTAAGCTGCTAGTTCATCATTTTGCATGCAGTAAAAGTGCTGTGCTTGCTTATATCACTGGAGAAAATAATGTGTCAGGATAAATATCAAACTCAACGATGACTTGCTGCTTGCTAGGAAGGTGGTATTGGGGGAGGGACATTCTTATTCTAGAGAGCATTTGATTGGACAGAGATTTGGACACACCCCTGAGTACATGATGAGTCATCAATGTTTTTGTTTGTTTCCTCGGAAGAGAAAGACAACATTTTAAATATGTCTATATCTTCCGAAAGACAGTTTTATCCACTTTTAGGTTGACAAAGTAAGGCAAACAGCATCTTCCTTAAAGGGGTCCTATTATGCTCTTTTACAAAGTCTTGATTTTGTTTTGGGGGTGTACTAGAACAGGCTCTCATACTAGGTTGTTCGAAAAATGCATTATTTTTCACATATTTTACATTATTACAACACCTCTCTCCCCAGTCTGGCATGAACGGCTCGAATAGTTCCTGTATCAAATGAAGGCCCAACTTCTGAAATACGAAATGTGCTGTGATTGGTTAGCTGGGCCATTGTGTGTTGTGATTGGCTGCACTCGGCACCTGGTCGGGAAATGTCACGCTCCTTACCATAGCCGCCTGCGAGCTTCAGTGTAAATATTGCGTCAAAATCAAATCAATTTGAGCGCGATTTAAACCCGGATGATTGTAACCACTCTAAGTTCGTCTGCCTTGGGAAAGCTAGCGTGTCTCCGACATAGTGATAACACTCGTTGCCTTCTCTAGTGCAGCTCAACCAGGTCTCGTCCCATTCGTCGGTATTTGTGGAAAATATGCGTTGTAGTCCAAACGAATCGTCCGTTGTAGTTTTTGAAAAGTGATTTCTGTTAAATAAAATATCTCTTTTTGAAATCGACTTTGAGCTGTGTAACTTTGCAGATCTTTTTTATGCTCAAACAGCAACATTACTGACTAACTAAAGTTGAAAAAGTGAAAAAGCATAATAGGACCCCTTTAAAGAGTTTCTTCAGACTTTCTGTTCCCTCTCCCAACATCTCTATCTGTCTCTCAGGAAATAAGTCCCTGGACAGCGGCATTGCAGAGATGGAGGAACTTCCTGTTCCCCAGAACATCAAAATCAGCAACATCACATGCGACTCCTTTAAGATCTGCTGGGACATGGACTCCAGGTCAAAGGAACGCATCACACACTACTTCATCGACCTCAACAAGAAAGAAAACAAGAATGCCAACAAGTTCAAACACAAGGTGTGTGAACGCAGCAGCTCTATATTCACTCCTTCTTACACATCCTGATCTGACCTGATGTAGGCAAAAGCTGATCTTCAGTAATGTTCTCAGGTTCATGTGTTTGCAGAAAGAGAACTGCAAGAACATGACTGTTTAATCTCATTTATTATCCGTCTCCTCTAGGACGTCCCCACTAAACTGGTAGCAAAAGCAGTCCCTTTGCCCATGACAGTGCGAGGCCACTGGTTCCTGAGTCCACGCACCGAATACACTGTTGCCGTTCAGACCGCGTCCAAACAGGGTGATGGCGACTACGCCGTGTCGGAATGGAGCGAGATCATTGAATTCTGTACAGGCGGTGAGAAAATTTTAAAGCACTAACATTAATTATATAAATTGTAACATTTCAATAAATAAATGTGGTGGCCTGATAATCACAATGTAGTGCGATTATTAAATCAAATGCCACAACTTACGCACGGCACTGTTCAGTACATGTGTAAGTAGCTTAGTGTTTACAGCATCAAAGAGCGGCTCAGTTTACAGTAAATGCAGCAAACTCTGTATCTGCATGTGCTGCAAGTTTAACCTTCATTGGCATAATTTCCAATATTTTTGTGGAAGTTTATTTCACCAGTATTCCACCAAAATGAAAGCTCAAGGATTTGTTGAACATATGAAAGTGAGGAATTATATAAATATTAGTGACGAGCACATAAAAATAACTATTGTAGCTGTGTAGCGTAAAATAAAATGATTAACACCAGTGGGAATGTAACGCAGACTGAGACACTATCACAACTAAAACGTTTATAATAAAACATTTACTAAAAAAAAATATTGTATCTATTTACTTGCATGTCACATGATCGTTAACCAATATCAGAGTAGTGTGAAAATGCAAATGTGAAATTAAATTATTGAAATATTTACTTAAAATCTCAGGGTAAAGTGGTTTGGTGGACAATAAAGTTTGGGAGCCTTGTCTGAAGTATTGCTTTTATGACCTCCATGAAGCTATTTAGGCTGTTATTGGCTCATAATGGCATTTTATTTCTTTATTTTGTATCTACAGATTATTCCACTGTTCATCTCACACAGTTGCTGGAGAAAGCAGAGGTCATCGCTGGCAGAATGCTGCGGTTCTCAGTCTTTTATCGAAACCAACACAAAGAATACTTTGACCATGCAAGGTATGTTTCTACAGGGATAACGACACTAAATTATTAAAGGAACAGTCAGCTTTATTTCCAAAACTCTATGACCTCTATGACACCTGTGTTCTGTGGAACACAAAAAATACAATTCTGAAGAATTTCTCTGCTGCTCTTTTCTGTACAATAAATGTGGCAGGGGTCTGTATGAGAATGACACTTGATGACACCTAATTTCATAATTAATAAATTGGTGCAGGATATTCTTCAAAATCACCCTTTGTGCGCCACAGAAGAAAGTCACATAGATTTAGAAGGCAACTATCTACACATGAGGGCAACTATCTACTGTAAATTATGACAAATTTTTCATTTCATATGAATGTTCATTCTCATCATATTAGAAAATCCCCAATTGGGTTTTATTTTATTTTTTTAATTAAAATGTTCTCTCTATTGTGAATTATCTTTCTTTTTATCTTAGAATTTACCTTTACGCAACCACAGTGATTTAAATTTCTCTTATTCAACTAATACTGTCCTGTATAGTATAATTTGATTAAAACAGCCATTAAATCAGTCTTTACAACAGAAATGAATACAATTTTAAATGTAAGAGGCACCGCGGAATCAAATTAAATCCTCCTGAGGGGGGAGGGGGGGGGGCATTCATTTCCCTTCAGAAATCATATTTTTTAATATCACTCTAGTTTATGTATCTGAATGTACCCCTTAATCTTACTTCAGTGAGATTTACAGAATTCATTGCCTTGCTTTATTTAAAAGTAATTCAATTTGGTTTCCCATCAGTGAGTGAAAGTCTATTGTTGTTGTACTTACCTCGTGTGAAACTCAAAGATTAATTCCACACTGACTTGATTAGATAGCTGTATTATTAATCATGCGTTTCAGATAGTGGTTCAACCTGTTCATATCATTTCAGCTTCATTTACCGCATTAACAATAAAGATCAGGTCTAAACTCTGAGGTGATAGTAAGAAGGAAACAGACTTCTGATCAGACTGAGAATTAATCAGAAGACAGTTAATAATGATACATAACATAAAAGGCTGGTTGGTATGGATTACAGAATAAAAAATAAAAAGGTACTTGCGAATTGTTTTTTTTTTTATCTAACAATTCCGACATTATTTCTTGCAATTCTGATTTATTTTGATTTAACATCTCTTAATTCTGTCTTTTTTTTGTGGGACAATTGCAAGACAAACTTGGAATGGCGAGATATGAAGTCAGAGCTGCAAGATAATTGCAATATATAAACTCGAAACTGCGAGAAATCAGAATTGCGTTATAAACACGCAATTCTGAAAGCAAGTTTGAAATGTGCTATAGCCTTGCAATTCTGAGAAACCAAGTCAGAATTGTGAAATAAGTCACAATTTCCTTTTTTATTGTCTTCTTCTGTGGTGAAAACAGGCTTCCATAGATTGAAAAAGAGATCTTTCACCCCCTGCCCCCCCAACCCAAAAAATTAAAATGTATTCATTTACTCACCCTATTGTTCCGAACCTATATGATGCTGTTTTTCTGAGAGAAAAAAAGGAGGCATTTAACAGAATGTTCACACTACTCTTTTCCATAAAATAAAAATGTGAAGGTGAAGGTCCAAAAAGGACAAAAGTGCATCACATCAATACCATGAAAGTGGTCCTTGAGATTCATGTTCTTTTTTCCAAGTCTTCTGAAACCATTTGATAGCTTTGCTATTACTTTTCCAGTTTCCATTTTTAAGAATTAGCTGTAATGTGTTCTCCGGCTACAATAAGTTGTACTGATTTAAGGAGGTTAGTCACTGGCAGTAAAGTTAAGTGCAAAAGTCAGGAGAAAATGGTTTGTGTTACATCTGAATTCTTGTAGTACCACTGAACGTCACCTCCATGAAGTCATTTGTCATTTATGGTGAATTTTCTGGTTGCAGGGAAGCCCAAAACAACAAGATGCTGCTGTCAGTGAAGGACAACAGCGGCAGCCACGGTTCGCCCATCAGCGGGAAGCTCGAGGGCATCTTCTTCAGCAGCAACACCGAGTTCAACACGGGCAAACCCCCACAGGACTCACCGTACGGCCGTTACCGCTTCCAGCTGCCAGCCGAGGAGCTCTTCAGTCCCAAGACAAACCTGTATTTCGCCGACTTCTACTGCATGTACACGGCCTATCACTACGTCATTCTGGTGATCGCACCGAAGGGCTCGTCTGGAGATGAGTTCTGCAAGCAGCGCCTACCAGCGCTGGATATCGCCAACAACCGCTTTATGACGTGCTCGGAGGATGAAGACGGCCGGCTGGTGTTCCACCATGCACAGGACCTTATCCTGGAGGTCATCTACACCGACCCCGTGGATCTGAGCCTGGGCACGGTAGCTGAGATCAGCGGCCACCAGCTCATGAGCCAGTCCACAGTCAACGCCAAGAAGGATCCCAGCTGCAAGACCTGCAACATCAGCGTGGGACGCTAACCTACGAATCGGAACCCTTCTGCTGCCTTGAACAGCACAGAAAATCGCCTTCTCCTTTAGCCGTCCTCCTTACCCATTATCGAACTTATCCATAATTCCTTCTGGTGTCCGCAGCATGTGTCTCACAGCTTTTGACAAAATGCTCTTTATCGTTTACTAGCTTATGGATCTCGACCCGGGGTTGGGTTAGATATGTCGTGGTGTTGGGATGTTGACTTAATCACCCCTGTCAATCAAACTGCTTCTTTAATCCTATTGGCTGTCAGACCTTCCTGTTAGAACGCGGCATTGTAACAGTTTACCAAAGTTTACACAAATTTAACACTAAATGCTCATCAAGTCGCTGAAGTCGGTGAATCGAGACAACCGTTCTTATAAGGCATTATGAATGTGATGATATCTCAAAAAATATGTGATTGGACGTATCTGTAGCATGACTGCAAACATTTTTGGAAACGTTGACATTAGCATAACTGTTCTTCAGCAGTGTTTCATGTTATCTATTCCAACCCATCCAGTATACTGATTTAACATATAATAAATGTGATACGACATGTAGATAGAAAAATATTTATTTTTTAACTGGTGAATAGAAAATGGACAGAACCAGAAGTAGTGATGGAAAAGAAAAGGTTCACGATAAAGCAAAAATATATAGATACATAAATATATATATATATATATATATATATACACTGTATATATATATATGTGTTTACTGTATAAACCAATGTAGAATTACGTGCACAATAGCTAACATTCAAAAGCTACATTTGTCATTGTGGATGTGTACAGCAAATAAATTCTGGGACGACGATAACATGACAGAATAACCACACCTGATTGTAGCACAATTCAACAGTTTACGCTGGTTGGCATGCAAAGACACTACACAAAGATTGTAATAGTTCATTGCAGTAGAGCCGTCGGAAAGGAAAGATATTGATTGTTTCGTTTCCAGAGAGTAGCTACTTGAGCAGAATTGCACTTAAAGCGCACATCCGCTTCTCATGAACATATCTCCTGCTTTGGGCTTCAGTATTGTTTTTAGTGTATGACGTTATTGGACAGTGTTCATTTTAACCACTGGCTTAATGTATCATTTGTTCTTCATGTATAGGAGGAAAACTGTGCTCTGTGATGGCCACGTACTGTACTTTAACACGTTTTTGAATAAAATAGATCTTTAAAAATACTTAGCTCTCCTTAGCTCTCCTGGGAGAACCTTTTCAATTCTGGATAGTATGTCTCATTTTGTGCTCCCTTTTTCATGTGAGAGACAGATATATGAGAAATAAACACGGTTGGTTGCTGCTGTATTCATATGTTAGGGAACTCATTGAAATTTGCATAAAACCCTTATTTTAAGTGCTCTGCGTTGTTTTCTGTCTAGAGCGTTGCATTATTTGACAGGCTAAAGATCGTGTCTAGCCCCAGAGAGTCACGGATCATCATTAGTGTGCATAATTGTCACCATGTTCCTAATTAGAATCATAAACTAGCTTCAAACAAGAGCAAGAAAACGTGAAAATTGCATATGGTTCGACTTTGGTTAAAAAAAATCTCCTCCAAAAATAAAATGCCATATTCCATACACATAGATGAATACTCTATATTTCCTTTTGCCCTTTGAAATCTGAATGAGGTTTGTATCGATCCGTCTCGCTCTGTACACAGCACAGAGATCGCACATGTTTGCGTTTATGAGATAGTAGCCACCGAAAGGCCTTGATCGGTTCGGCCCAACCCATTGAGTCTAGGACTTCCAATGTGGTCAGAAAGGATATTAAAGTGCATTTTAGCATCATAATGGCACAATTATGTCAAATGTAAAAAACACAATTTGGTCCAAACATTGGGTTCGATACTGAAAGGCAGAAATAATTCTCAGATAGTCTAAGTGGTTTCCTGTTTGCTGAGCAACACTTCCAGTAAGCGTAATTTGGCTTTGAGACTTTTGTACTCCTGGTACTCCTCGGCCATGGGGATTCGGTCATCTTTTTGTGCGGTTCTTCATTATTTTGGTGGAAAGGGAAAGGAAAAAAACAGATACCGCATGAAACTGATGACTCTGTGAGATTCCACTACCATTAAAACACACATTTAACCCTTGAGTTGCCTTACTGAAGCAGTTTTGTACATCAGTGGATAGCAGATAAATGGAAATGTATTTTATTTAAAAAAACTAAATCCATATATTGTGTACAGAAACACTGTTTTTTTTTTCCTGGTGGTATTACTTTGTGTATCATTGATTAGATGTGCATTATGCTAACTACGCTGAACTATTTTGATCTTTATTTTCCTTTTTCCTTCCTGTCTATGCTCAAAAAGACAAAAGTAACAAAATACCATTAAAATGTGTTAATGCCACAGTAACGCATCTGTGTTTTACCTTCCCATCTGTCTGAAGAACTGCTCTTCAAACTCTCTGATGGCTTTACGTCGTCTCTTCTTCTCGGCTCGAGTCTCACGCAAACACTCCAGCAACTCAGACCTGCAATTAGACAGTTTGCAAAACACAGTTTGTAAAGGAATATCTCACCCTACAATTTATCATTAGGAAACATTTACACACCCATGTCATCGCAAATCTGTAAGGTTTTCGTTCTTACACAATAGAATATATATATTGCAGAATGTCCAGAGGTAGGTCCAGAGGAAGCATTTTAAACTTTTAAACTGTTGCCACAGGTTAAAGGTTTGACATGTTGTTTAAACTATGCATATTTGATAGAAATGCTTATGAGGAAATATTTTAGGCTACCCAATTTATATTCTAACAATGATAAAACTGTGCTGGATGATGAGACACTGTAAGGAGATTTTTGTAAGAGAATGGTACTGGAAGGGAGCCTATGTGCGGATGTTTCTATGGTAACTGCCAGGTCTCTCCAGAAATGATTCTAGTAAATAAAAATAAAAAATAAAAAAAGTCAACAGAAAAATGTATGGAAGCTGTCAATCTTAAGGTAAGATGTTTTAATTTCTGAAAATTGTGATGTACATTTTTTAACCACTATACAGTAATTTTCAAGTTGAAATTGTGTTATGCATAAAGGTGCTGTTTGGTTTGAAAGTGACATTTTTTTTTTTTACTAGTGACTATAAAACATGTATTTTAAAAATGTAGTCATGTTTTGGGCTAGCTTTGTTAGGCAGATCTGGCAACCCTACTCTACCATGCAACAAAAATAAATGGGAACTAGGGCTGTTGAACTTTAATGATAAAGCATCATAAAAGTGGTTTCTATAACTTGACTTGTCATTTACATTCCAAGGCTTCTGAAGACATGCAATAGCTTTGTGCTAAACAGAGATATTGACATATGTTTTGCTTTAGTTCTCAAATCTTTCTTGCGCACAATCAATTCAAACGATGCAACATATTTGAAATGACTGTGAATAACGACTTAAATCTCTATTCCTCAAACAAAATATGACTTGAAATATTGAACACTAATCATATTCCATAGTAGCCCATTATGGAAAACAGGGCATTAGACATTCTGCTAAAATTCTCCTTTTGTTTCTTCATATCTTTGGAACAATTTTCTGTCATTATTTTAAAAATACTTAATCATTATTGTTCACACTTCAGTTTGGGGAGCGATTCTGACTATTAACTAACTGTTAACTATGACTCTTGCCTGAATAAACTCCTGATTAGCTGCTCATTAATAGCAGTTGTTAAGTTTAGGTATGGGGGTGGATTAAGGGATCTAGAATATGCTCAAGCAGAATAAGGCACTAATATGTGCTTTATAAGTACTAATGAACAGCCAATATGCTAGTAATATGTATGCTAACAAGCAACTAGTTAATGGTGAGGATTAGTCCCTAAACTAAAGTGTAACCTCATTATTTATTTATTTTTAATTGCATGTGATGTTCCTCAGTGACTAAGGTTTAAGTACCTGGAGGCCTCGTGGAGGTTGGACATGGTTATGACTGACTGTCTCACTGTCTTGATCTCATCCAGCGGAGACACAAAGGCCGGGTCACTGTCGCCCTCCTCCTCCCCACAGCCTCTCTTATCACTGAGGCACATGGGTGGGGGTGTGTACCGAACGGAGTCATCATCTGAGCCTTCTTCTTCTTCCTGTGATACATTCAAAACAAACATATTGTATATACAATAACACTTACTATAGTTGTAATAGTGGGAGTCGCACATAGGAGATGTTTCACCATCTGGTATCTATCATAGAGAGGTTTCACCAGGTTTTTCTCCTCTGGTTTGGTGCCCTACGGGGTCAATATCACATTAAAATAAACATTTGTTCAAATATTAATGCTATAATCCTAATCCGTATCTAATTAACTAGAACATTTCTGTATTTAAATACGAAAAACCTCTTACAGGACGGCCGTGTAAGCTCTCAAAATACAGCAGACATTTTTGCAGAGTGATCTTCTCCAGGGCCATCTGTCTTTGGGTCATCTCCTGTGGACACAAGAGCGCGTGTTGAGTTAATCACCTCAAACCCTGGCCACACAAGCACACAATCAAATCCCCACCCACCCGAACAGAATGCACCCGCAGATGGCCTCACCTTCATGTTGTCTGGGAGGCCGAGGGCCTGGCGTTTCTCCCGTAGTAGTTTCAGGAGTGAGTCCACTGTCTCCTCCAGAGAGGGCTTGTGCTGCTGCTCTGGCGTCTCCTGCTGGCCGTTAGTGTACCTGCAAATATCTGTGGAGTGGTTGTTCTCATGTGTCCGGGATTCCTCAAATGTCTGTCTAAGCTTCAAATCTGGGGAAACGGATGAACAAGTTCATTAGTTTGATTCTGAAATGAATTGGATTATAATAAATGGAGAGAATGACAGGAAGTGGAATGTATTGCATTCAAAGCAATTAAACCGTCACACAATAGCGGAATTTCACTAGTCCAACACTTGTTTCCATTAAGAATTTGGAGTAATAGTGTTACTTTTAATTTCACTATTGATTAAACATATTTCTCTACATTAAAATAGTTGCCAAAATAGTTACACAACCATCAAAACTTCCTCGAAACATTCATTTTGACAGACAGCACCACAAAATGTCTGCATTGTTTTCAGATAATATGTTTTAAATATATATATATATATATATATATATGTGTGTGTGTGTGTGTGTGTTAATTAAATATATAAAAAGATTATAGATTATATAATTATATATTTTTTTAAACTAAGATTGACAACAAAATTTGAATCTACTGATTATGTATTTATGTTTGACTTTGTTTTAAAGATAAGGTAAATCAGAACATGGGTTAACAAACACATTAAATACAATGCATAGGAATGTCCTGAGACCAATGTAGCAAATAATCTTATAAAATAGTTTTAATGAATAAAATAGGCCAATGAATCACCTTAAGTTTTATTATTTGGACTGGCAGTCTTACCTTTGAGCTGCTTGCGAGACCTGGCTAGTTCACTCATGAGCCTGAAAATCTCTGGATTGACTGATTTATCATTATGTGAAGGCTGTGGGTGAGAAAAGGCACAAACTCAATTCAGGAACTATAACTTCTTATCTGGAATCATAATTAGCACATTCTCCTGGTCATCGAAACAAAATCAAACAGCACAGTAGTACTATACTTCTCCAGTAGAGTGCACTAAACTACAATGTTGAATGTTGAACTGAATGTCGAATTTTCCATGATATATATCCAGGATTTTTTATTATTCTGACCTTATAGTTCATTTCGTGTTCAAAGCGCTCATCAAACTTGCGTATTTTCCTCTTGAGAGTTTGGATGTGTTTGGTGAGGAGTGGGATGGAAGTAGCTTCCTTGGCGTCTCCAGGAACCTCCGTTCTAACAACTCCACGAGCCCTAAATAGAAGAGAACACGCATGTAAACACACTCATTCAACTACAATGATCATATAGACTAGGCTACATTAATCGGATTAATAAAACTGCCAAAATGCAGTTTTGATAGTAATGCAGATTCTCTGTTGTCAGAACCACTTTTTGTGAATTCTAAGTATTTGTAGACTACTGTTCAAGAGTTTGGGATTTGGGGATTTTTTAAAAGTCCCTTATGCTCACCAAAGCCGATCAAAAACTGTGAAATATTATTATAATTAAAAATAACTGTTGTACTGTAATATATTTTAAATGCAGTTTATTCCTGTGATGCAAAATGAATTTTCAGCATCATTACTCCAGTCTTCAGTGTCAGATGATCCTTCAGAAATCATTGCAATATGCTGATTTGCTTCTTTAAAAAAATATATTATTATTTTTAATGTTGAATACAGTTGAGGTGCTTGGTGGAAACCATGATACTTTTTTTCAGGATGTTTTGATGTTGTAACATTAAAAACGTATTGTCACTTTTGATCAATTTAGTCATCAATGCTGAATAAAATATATATATACACACACACACACACACACACACACATATAAACAACTCACTGACCCCAAACACACAAACCCAAACATGACATTTTTGTATGGTGTTAAGCTGTATGATTGATAATTTCACATCACCTGTATCATCCTGTGGTCTCTTTGTTTTTACATAACAAAATCAATTAAACTCAAATTAAACTCAAAATTTTCTAAGCAGCCATGCAATTCTGTCTGTCCTGTCCAGTTTATTTTACTCTATCTATTTACCCTAATAATGTACAGTATGGGTCTATTAGTACTACTAACTACTAGTGCAGACCTAGTGAGTCAGGCTGAAAACATCATAAACACCAAAAAAAAAAAACACACACAGCCGGGAAATAATTTTGGAAAAGTCATTGCCTATTTCCCGTCACACACACACACACACACACACACAGTATAGGCCGTCACAGATGTCGGTTTCCATCACTACAGCATTAGTCAGCAGGAAACTCATGACAGACTACTCCACTGCCTAGAAAACACCAGTGAGATCAATTCAAAACACTTACTAAAACCTCCTTTTGGGAAATAGGAATCCTTTTGCTAGTCAATCACTGTTACAGTATATGGCATAAATAGAGGATGCAGATACAGTAAAATTCAGCAATACATTTTAAGAAAAGTATATTGTACTGAGAACTAAATTCTCTCATCTGAAGTACTGCTACTATGTACTGTAATTATATTGTATGTGTAAGTAGTATTGAAACCTTGTAGATGAGCCTGTAGGCTAACTTCCCTCATGGTCAGTCCATGCAGAAGAACATGGTCAACTATAGTGATTTGTATTTCATCAGGAACAAATGTCCTTTGACCTCATCGCCTTCGTTTTTATTTCCCCCTCCATTTCCTCTTGGTCTCCCACTATCAGGATTCATTTTCCAACACATAATCAGCTGTGCTCCTGTGCATATCATCCTAAGATTCTGACTGCTGTGTCATCAGTTTTGCAACTTAATGTTCACACATGGATTCATATCTAGCGTAGCGTTAGTTCTGGCAGGTCATGTTAGTCAAGCTCGCATCAGCTGACTCTCAGCTGATCCCCATCA